GATAGATAGATAGATAGATAGATAGATAGATAGATAGATAGATAGATAGAGGATAGATGGGTGGATGGATGGACATATGGATAGATGGATGCATGGATGGATAGATACCAGTAGATGGTAGATAGAGAGACAGATAGATAGATGATTGATAGAGGATGGAGAGAGAGAGAGAGAGAGGGAGAGAGAGAGAGGGAGAGAGACATAGATGATATAGATAGATGGTAGGTAGGTAAATATAAAATAGAGATACATATATAGTTAATGTTTAGTGAATCAAACATTAATCAATATATGTTTTTAAAGCAATAAACCATTTTGGACAAAAAGAACAAAAATATTACAATAACATACTTCTAAATATGTTCATAAACAGAATTAATTCCAAACATTATTGTTTGGTACTAACATAATATACTTAACCATGAGACAGACAAAAAACATGAACTACTCAAATTTAGATATTTAGATATTCCACAAGATAGTTATGGATGCTGATTGTTAACAGACAGTACTGATAATATGTATATTTTTGCAACTGTTTAAAATTTTCTAGATTCTCTTCTTGGTGATCTAGCGAATTTATCATAATACAGGTTATATTCTGAATTGTGGGGTTGGTTTTTTTATGTAAAATTGTAAAAAAAAGCTATAACACAATGCATTTCAATAGATTTGTTCAATCTGTTGCTAGTTAGCTATATTTCCCGAAGCAAAACAATGAACTCATACATTTCTTCTTTACCTGATAACAAGAGGTCAATATAGCATCTTCTATTCTAAAGACAGCCCTTACAAAATACATGAAACTAGGCAATCTAGGACGAATTAAAATATCTTAGTGAAGTTTCCTTGAAAGTATTGACTCACTGAAGAAGAAAACATTTTAAAATGTTTTCTTTTTGCATTTCTTTCATATTTCCATTGTCTGTGATAGCCACCTGCTTGCTCTCAGAAGGTCAGGATGCTTTCCTCTGCGGTTGGACTATCATCACACACAATAAGGGCCCTTTTATAGATATAGTAACTTAAGCTTCCTTTTTACTGAAAGCGGCTGGCTTTGCAAAAAGTAATGCGGTAGCTTGAAATAGCAACAGGAAACGCATTCTGGTTAAAGGCGGCAGAGAATTGCCCTTTCCCAAGCCATAGCCACATTTCTTTCTCCCAAGCAATGTAGGATTTTCCCTAGTTAGTGATCAGCCCAGCCCAAATTAGGTCACTGTTTTCTTCCCTCAGCAGTCAATCTCTACCCATCTGCTTGATTGATATAGGACAGCGATGGCTAACATTTTCAGCACCAAGTGCCCAAAGTGCGTGTGCAAACCCCCAAAATGCAATGTGCGCACATCCCTCGTGCATGCGCCCCATCCTCCCTTGCATGTACCCCACCCCCCACGCATGTGTGCATGTCCCCTACATGCACATCGTCCCCGCAGATGCGTGGCAGAGACCTGAAGGCCAGATGGCCAGCAGGAGGCACCCATGTGTGGTGGAGTAGAGCTGCAGGAATGGCTCGCGTGCCCACAGAGAGGACTCTGCAGGCCACCTTTGGCACACGGGCCACAAGTTCGCCATCATGGATATAGGGTGTTCAGTGAAACCAGCCCCTCCCAAACACCTGTGTATTGATAAAGGAGACTATTTGTAGCTCAGGGCTGAAAGAGGAGTCCTTGATGCCTGAACCTGGTTATTTTCTTGCAGACATCTCATTACCCAAATTAGGTAACATCATCAGTGCTAGTGCATCATCTGGTTCTGACGCTATTACAGGTAGTCCTTGACTTACAACAGTTCATTTATGACCGTTCAAAGTTACAATGGCCCTGAAAAATGTGACTTATGACTGTTTTTCACAGTTAAGTCCTTTGCAGCATCTCCATGATTGCATGATCAAAATTCAGATGCTTGGCAACTGGTTCATATTTGTGATCATTGCAATGTCCCAAGGTCATGTGATCTCCTTTTGCGACCTTCCGACAAGCAAAGTCAATGGGGAAACAAGATTCACTTAACAACCAGGTTACTAATTTATCAACTGCAGTGATTCACTTAACAACTGTGATAAGAAAGGTCGTAAAATGGGGGCAAGACTCATTTAACAAATGTCTCACTTAACAACAGACATTTTCGGCTCAATTGTGGTCATAGATTGAAGATTACCTGTATTTAGTTTAGGTAATGAAACATCTGCAAAACAACCAGGCTCAAAGAGCACTAATCTCTCTCTCTCTCTCTCCCTCCCTCTCTCTCTCTCCCCCCCCTCTCTTTCTATCTTTTGAAAAACCAAATTTAGCTAATATAGTCTGTGTCTGGATGTGTAGGTTCCACTAAACTATGGTGTGTTTTAGACATTTTATAGAATTAATCACACTAATTGTCACTAGGCCACAGGCCTTGGATTACCATTAAATAGTTGGATTAACTTCGATCCAAAACTAGACATATCTCATAGGTCTTAACCCAGAGTATGAACCAAGCCCATTTCCTCTCAGTGGAGGTCAAGAGGAAATGAGCATGCCCTTGAAATAAAATTTTAAGTAAGAAAAATTACTTAAGTGTCCATTTCTGACACATCCAGTAAGTCATTACTTCTCTTAAAGTTCAGCTAAATTCCAAAATTGCATACCTCATAGGAGGTGTCATAGCAACCAACAAAAATATTGCTATTAAAATACTTACTAACAAAAGTTTTACAGGTAGTTGACTTACAACAGTTCATTTAGTGACCAAAATTCGAAGTTCGACTTAACATCTGCAGTGATTCACTTAACCACTGTGGAAAGAAAGATCGTAAAATGGGGCAAAACTCACTTAACAACTTTATCGCTTAGCAACAGAAACGTGCGGCTCAATAGTAGATATAAGTCGAGGACTACCTGTATTGTCACATGATATAACAGGTGATACTCAAAAGGCTTTTTAAACATGCTTACCCGAGAGATAGTGAGAGGCATGTTGAAGTCCTTCCCACCTTGGAGCCTGAACCCCCAAGGAGCTGGACCCACCAGTGAAACACTGTAGTTATTCATGGTCTTCTGCAGTTGGTTATAATTCTCAGGGGAACAACCTGTAAGAGATATTTGAAGATTCTGAATGCTAAAAACACAACCCAAACATCCAAAATAATTAGATCAGGTGCTAATGTTCTGACTGGGTTCACACACTGCACTAACCACAGTAATTTTTATATCTTAATACAAAGCATATAATCTAACAGGGGTGATAAACTCAAGGCTCGTGGGCCAGATTCGGCCTGCGGTGTGCTTAGATCTAGCCTGCGGGGATGTCCTGCAAACAACGAAGGACCGGTCCGCAGTGCCTCTACCAGCGAAAACAGAGCTCACGAGGGATGCGCATGGCCCTCCCGAGCTCTGTTTTCATTGGCAGAGGGTTGCAGGAGGCTGTTGCATCTGAAAACAGAGCTCGGGAGCCCATTTTCGCTGGCAGAGCACTCAAGCCACCACAGCTCTCTCCCCCAACATGAATGACGTCAAGCTGGCCACGCCCATCCTGGGGTCCCCGAGGTCAAACACAACCTAGTTTGGGCCTCAATGAAATTGAGTTTGATACCCTTGATCTAGGACAACCACAGAAACTAGGAAGCTTCCCTCAAAATTTATAATGGACAACCACACAATCAGCTTTTATATATTTCCTTCCAGGAATCTTGAACATTCCATAGGAACAAAAGGGGGATGTGTTTTAATTATTTGTTGAATGAGCCATGACTAGATTTACACATCAGGCTAGCCTGAACCAAAGAAAGCACAAATGTCAACTTAGCAGAAAGTAAAATTCAAGCCAGTCTATTTTCTTTCTCTCTCTCTCTCTCTCTCTCTCTCTCTCTCTCTCTCTTCCTGTCTATACAAACAACTCAGATGCAGAATGACTGATCCCTTGCTATCCATGATGTTTCAGAAGAAAAATGGGCATTCTCAACCTTCACCTGGTTTTTGAGAAGAGCTTCCTTTTTTACAGTCCCCATGCAAGCCAGCACACAATAGCCACTGAAATCATGAATAATGTCTTAGTCAGAATTAGTGGTTCTCAACTTTCAACTCATATGAAGTGTCTGAAGATCATTTTGCAGGTTCTGAATTGCTATCCCCGCCCCAACGTATACACACAAACGTGCCAATGTTACATTACTTGTATTATTATAGTGTCATTACTGGCAGAAAATTGGGAACATAAAAAATCTACAAACATCTTTGCATCTCAAAATGTAAAAACACCCGGCCCTAATTTCATCAATATATCCACTTTTTTTATTTTTCATTCTTCTCCCTGAGCATAGTTGTTCTGAAAATAGATTTCAGGAGTAAAATGCAGAATAAATTTAAGTCATGGGTATTGTTTAGAGACTCTAGCTTAACTAGAGTCTCTAAACAATATCCACAGTTCAAATTTAACAATACCTACGACATTACCTCTAGGAAAGGTATTTCATTCTCTTACAAAGCGGAAATGCTTTTCATGGATGCATTATGAAAACACCTGATGTTTGCCTGAAATAAAGTAGGCTGAAAACCAAGCAGATAAAATTTTCTAGATATGATTTGTTTTCTCTCTGCAATTCTAAAGTCACCCAGGACGAGAACTCCATTAATTCAAGTTAGCTTCCATTGTGGTCTATCCTTAACAAGGTTAAGACATGGCTTATTTAGCCATAGAAAACTAAGACTGATAATAACTTTATTGTCACTTTAAACATACACTGATTAGCATACATTAAAATGAAATTTCGCTGTATACAGCTCTCAAAGGTATACCTCCAATCTACACTACATAAACATGAAAAAATAAATGAATAAAACGATGCACATACCCACATATATTATATAACATGGCTTGAGGGATAGGTCAGAACTGTGACCTAAACTATTTTGGTCACTGAAAAATGAACCTGATAGGAAAGTGTTAACTCCACCTCTGCCTGCTCAAAGGCGGGGCTTAAGACTTCTTCCTCCTCCATGAGGAAATCTCCCCTTTTCATTTGCAATAGAGTGTAATTTGACCTTTTCTTTACTGAAACTCAATCTAAATCCATCACAATTACAGTTGGCATGTGCTACTTGTAATCTGATCTTCAGTTCCGTGAATCTCCTTTCCATCCATTTTTGTAGAAGGCAGAATTAAGGTTGACAGGGAGAGGTTTGTTTTGGGAAAGCAAAAAAGCCCTTACTCTCTATCAGGAAGAGGTAATAGTTAACTCTTTCCCATTGGTTCATCTTTCGGTGATGGAGAACGCCTGGGTATCTTCCTTGCGCTAAGCCACAAAACATGATTTATGATCAAAACACACTATAACTTAGCTGGAGGCTCTGAGCGCAGACTAAAGAATAAGCAGTATGCCAAATAAGCTTTTTAGTCTTTCCAGCCCAACAGAATGTTGGAAATAAATTAGAAGAGGTCGGTTTATATCTGTCTAGCTATCACAGAATAACTGTCCAAAAACTAAAGTGCCTAAATTTAGTGTAGAGAGAAGTGCCAGCAAAAGAAAGCTGGAGTTCAAAAATAGGCCAAATAACATTGCAGGGGTTGTGAAGGAAAACCTCTTACTTTCCCAGTACATAACTAGGAAAGATACAATCCGGCTGCCCCTCTATATGTTGCCAACTGTTCCATTCTACTACCACACTTGTAGTTTCCCTTCTATAGTTATGACTTACCATGGACCGTATACAGCATGTCTGATACTTCCAAATGTACCTACGCAGAGGCAACCTGTTATATCATAACAAAGAAAATGCAGGAGCCTTTATATCCACTGCTGGCAAAGAGGCTGTAAGAAATTCCAGCAAGGAATGAATGATCTGCAAGTTTATCCTATCTTGTTTTTTCTTTCCAACTTAACATAATGTTCAAAAGGAGTTATGGAAAGGGGCTCATGATTCTGTCTATACGTTAGCAGGATAATTCTTGAAAAAGTCAATAAAATAGGAGCAAATCTGTTCTGAGGAAAAAAGCCTGCAAAAGACTAAGCTTGAAAATGGGCCAGATTTGATTAGGCACTGGAGAGAAAGAAATCGAACCCTCCATGTTATCTCTGAAGGTTGAATAGACATCTCCATTCTAAGACCCTTTGTGACCCTAATAGAGCTATTATGAAGGGGTCAGAAAGAATTCTACAAGTAATGTTCTTTGCTTTCTATCTCACGTGTCATTTTATAAATACAGGTGGTCTTCAACTTATCATCAGTCATTTAGGAACCAAATAATTAAGGCTAACTGGTTTTGGATACCTTGTAATAAGTACTTGAAATAACATATGGGAATCACTAGGGTTTGTAGCACAAACACACTAGCATACAACTATTATAAACAGTCTATCTCAGCGCAAAAGTTACTTGGCATTAATGAAACACTTTAAAAAGTTTCTTGGAAAGTAAAATATTTCTCTTCTAGCCTCAGATATCTTTTTGATGATGTTTAAGCATGCAAATCTGGTGGGAGGAGGAGGGAGACTGGAACTAATCGAATATTAAATAGTGGTTCTTAAATCCATAATCTCGTATCTATTATTCCATGGCATCGTGATAGCTTCCAAATGCTTATTCTTATTCCCCTCGCAAGCACATACTTAAAATAGCACCTGAAAGTATTACTGAAAAGCACTCATTAGAAATGTACTAAAAAATAAAAGTGCTTGAATAGTTTAGCTTGCCAGTGGATCCTTTTATGAAATCTACATTTTCCTCCAGGTAACAAGAGCAATGGAAGAAATTGGTAGCTTCAAATATGCACAACTATGCACATATAACATATGCAAAAGTTGCATTTATCTGCATGCACTAACAGAAACCCCAGAGCTCCATTAAATCTTGGTAAGCAGACATCTCAAGAAATGTTACCCATTTGGTGCCATACATTAAAGGACAATATACCAATTGCTACAAAGTTGAGAGAAAGGGGAGCGGGGAAATACACATATATGGAAGGGGTCTAGATTGTTTTGCAGCTGCCCAAAAAAGTCATGAGCACAAAGAGCAACGAAAGCAAATTTCTCACGCCCTACTACGAAAAAGAAAAAATTGGCCTGGTTGATTTTATTTTATTTCCATTGTCTTTTAAACATGCCCGGAGTTACTGATTTACCAACAGGCAGGCAGTCGGGGCCACTTAAGGAAAAGTCTTGCTGTGATGAAATGGGTTGGTGGCTGGGGAGGGAGGAAAGGAGGTGTGGGAAGCCCCCAAACAGAGGGGGGGAAAGGGGGAGAGATAGAGAGAAGTGGGGGAGGGACAGAGAGAGAAGGAGGGAGGGAGAGAAAAAGAGAGAGGGAGAGAAAGAGAACAGAGGGAGGGAGGGGGAGGAAAAGGAGAGGGGGAGAGGGAGGGAGGGAAAGAGAGAGAGAAAGAGGACAGAGGGAGGGGGAGGGAGAAAAAGGAGAGGGGGGAGGGGGAGGGAAAGAGAGGGAGAGGGAGGGGAGGGAGAGAAAGAGAGAGGGGGGAGGAAGAGAGAGAGGGAAATAGAGAGAAGGGAGAGGGGGAAGGGGACAGAGAGAGAGTAAGAGAGAGGGAGGAAGGGAGAGAAAGAGAGGGGGGAGGAAGAGAGAGGGAGAGAGGAAGAGGAGGGAGAGAGAGAGACCGGGGAGGGGAAAGAAAAACAGAAAAACCACAATCTGACAAACTAATCTCGGGGGACCAAGCCAATATTAAAGAGGACACTTGTTGCCGCTTTTCAACTCTTGGATTTTTTTAAAAAAAGAGGGGGGGAAGGTCGGGACTCGAAGAAGCGTCACCTCAAAGCAGCCTTTCAAAGGCACGTCTGCTAAAAAGCAACGCCACGGGAAAGGCCGGCTGCAAAAAAAAAAAAAAGGGTGGGGGGAGGAAACGTTTCGCGACGGAACTAGGAAAGGGACTCAACAGGGTTAGGGCGGCGAAAAGATATGCTCTCTGTATCTTAGCTCCGTCTGGTACTGCCCTGGGCGCTCCGGTCGTAGTCGTAGCAGCTCCCCCAGCCCTTTTCCACGGCTCCCCTTCCGTCCCCAAACTCCGTGCAAACTTTAGCCGGCGCCTCCACCACCCAGCCCTCCCAATTCCGCAAGGTGCCGCGGGCGCGCTGCTCCTCTAAGGCAGGGCTCTCCAACCGTGGCCACTTTAAGCCGGGGGACGGAGGACGGGGTGACTTCAACTCCCAGGATTCCTCAGCCAGCTGGCTAGGGAATTCTGGGAGTTAAAGTTCCCCCCCCCCCGGCCTAAAGTGGCCAAGGTTTGGAGAGCCCTGGGTCTAAGGCGCGCAAAAGCCTCCTCCGCCCGCCTCGGGCGCCCTTTTATTTCCCGCGACCCCGCTCCCGGGGAAAGCTTTTCCTACGGCCGCGGGTGGAATTCTCTCCCACTCCCTCCGTCCCTCCTTTTCTCCTCAGCGAAGCCCCAGCGAAGCGACTCACTTTCCAAGGCGGAGAGAGGCTGGAGAGGCGCGCGAGCGGTTCCCACCAAAGTGGCGTGTGCGCGAAAGAGCGCAAAGTCCAAGCCCGAAGAAGCTCTCTCGCCCCGAGCTCTTGTTTGCACTTCCGCCCCTTTCTTCGCTCCTCCTCCCCGCTCCGGCTCCGGAGGGCCGGCGAGGTTTGGCTCCAGCAAAGAGCGAGAGGAGGAGGAGGAGGAGGAGGAGAAGCGGGCGGGGGCAGCGGGCTACTTTCCGGCCTTGGCGTGCGCCTTCGTTCCCGGCGGAGCCTCGGGCGCCCGCAGCCTTGCTGGCCGCGATGGCCCCCCCCCCCCCCCGACCAGAATTGCCGGCTGAACGAGGACGAAGAAATAAGAGACACGCTTCCGTGGGAAAGATCTGAAATCTAAATCAAGCGCCTTTTAACCACGTTTAACAGGCTGGACTTTTCATCAAGTGCCTTAACCACGTTTAACAGGCTTGACGTTTCCACCTCAGAGAATTACGCAGAGTCTGCGAACTTCGTCCGCCTCTCCAAATCGATTTCGAAATTATTTTATTCCAAATGCGCATGAAAAGCGTACGCGACCCGTGGAAGAAGAGAGCTAGCAAAATGCGTGTTTGCGTGCACACGTGCAAGAGGGGAACCTGCGGGTCATTGTTATTCTGGACTATTGCCATATTTGCTGCCATCGTGTGGTTGTATGGATTTTCTCAAGCAGAGCATTCCTTTGTTTCACTAATAGCAACAGACACAACTTTGATTATTTAGTTGCTGTTGACCAAGCTTTGCTTTTTTTTTTCCTTTGTAGAAGGAAATAGATTTACGCAATTTCCAGAATGTCTTTCTAGGACAGGGTTCTAGAAAGGGTTGACAAGACTATGCATTATTATGCATAGTAGTATTACATTATGTGTAGTATTATTAAAGGTAGTCCTCAACTTATGACCACTATTGAGTCAAAATTTCTGTTTCGAAGTGAGAAATTCATTAAATGAGTTTTGCCCTATTTTACGGCTTTTCCTGCCACATTTGTTAAGTGAATCACTGCAGTTATTAAATTAGTAACACGTTCGTTAAGTGAATCTGGTTTTTCCCCATTTATTTTGCTTATCAGAAGGTTGCAAAAAGGGATCCCATGATCCTGGGACATTGCAACCATCATAAATATGAGTCCGTGGTCAAGCATCCAAATATAAATACCAGGGTGATTTACTGCAATGGTTATAAGTGTGAAAAATGACCATAAGTCAATTTTTTCACTGTCATTGTAACTTTGAACAGTCACTAAGTGAAGTGTTTTTAAAGTCAAGAGCTACCTGTAGTTGAAATAGTATTTATTATTTGGTTTTTATCCCACCTTTGTTATAAGTAACTCAAGGCAGCAAACATATTTAACATTACTTCGTCCTATTTCCCCCACAACAACAACCCTGTGAGGTGGGCTGGCCTGAGAGAGTGTGACTGGCCCAAGGTCACCCAGCCAGTTTTCGTGGCTAAAGCAGGACTAGAACTTACCATCTCCTGATTTGTAGGCCAACATTTGTTCTCTTCATATAATAAATGTTAGGGATTAATGAATAATCTGAAACTTCATGAAGAGGAGGATACTGTAAGGGCCATTACAGAGACGATATTTCAGATGATAACTGCCAGCGTTACTATATATGGGAGTGAGTACACACATTGAGTAAATTATGATTTGGGTTAAGTGTCATTCAATGAATAAGTCACAAGGTTTACATATTGTGTTGAGCTATACACTATGCTTTACCAATAAGAATAGAATAGAACAGAACAAAACAGCATTGAAAGGGACCGTGGAGGTCTTCTAGTCCAACCCCTCCCTCGCCCAGGCAGGAAATCATATAGCATTTCAGACCAATGGTTGATCAAACTCTTCTTAAAAACTTGCCATGTTGGAGCGTTCACAACTTCTGGAGGCAAGTTGTTCCACGGATTAATTGTTAATTTCTCCTTAGTTCTAGGTTGCTTCTCCCCGTGATTAGTTTCCATCCATTGCTTCTTGTCCTGCCTCTGCTGCTTTGGAGAATAGCTTGACTCCCTCTTCTTTGTGGCAGCCCCTGAGATATTGGAAAATTGCTATCATGTCACCCCTGGTCCTTCTTTTCTAGCAGATCTAATTAAATCCAACCAAGTTATACCTTTGCACGATACGGGAACTCAATGTAGAGTTTCTGGTCACAATTTTCAGTTTACAATTGATTGCCAAAGATGAAGAATGAGCAGGAGTCGGGATCCAGCAGACCAGGACAAATCATCACTGCTAACCAGTTAAGGTAAAAATTGTCCGTGCTCCCTGCTTAATGCAGCCTTCTACAAATGCAAGCCTGGTCCTGAATCTGCTGACAAAAGTTTTGTTTGAACCAGATTACATTGCCAGCCTTAAAAATAACTTCCTAACATGCTTGGCCATGTCTGCCTTGCTTAACCACCCACCATGACGTACAAATTCATCATCTCCTGGCCTGAACAAAATTAATTCACTTGTCTGTAGCACAAAAGGTTTTATTCTCTTCGCTTCCAAGGACATTAGTCTCTGGCCACACAGGAATGAGCAGAAGCTATCTTGGCCTCTCTTTGTAACAAGATCTTTGCCTCCTTTTTTTATGATGCCCATTCAGTCCTCCCAGTTATGTCCTTGAAGATCAGAGTTCACAAAAACGTCTGTCTGAACATGCATGGCCTATTGTTGATTCATAGAGTACAGTGACAAATTCTGCTTAATTAAGGTTGTCAGTTCTGTACCGCAATTGGGACAACTAGTAAAGGGACAGAGAAATCTATTTCTTGGTTGCAGATCTAAATCTAAAGTTTTGCAGATCTGCTAATCGTGAATTGGTGAGCAATACAACTTTATTTTTTTATTTTGTCAAGCAATTATAAGAAAACAGGTATAAATATAACATAGTGATGAATACATGAAATGGATACATATAAGAAAAATAAAAAGAATCAATAGGACAGGGACAGTAGACACGTTGGTGCGCTTATGCACGCCCCCTATAGACCTATTAGGAAAGGGGTGAGGTCAATAGACAGTCCAAGGTTAAAGTTTTTGGGGGTTGGGGAAGAAACCACAGAGTCAGGTAGAGTATTCCAGACATTGACCACTCTGTTGCTGAAGTCCTATTTTCTGCAATCAAGTTTGGTGCAGTTTACCTTGAATTTGTATCTATTATGTGCTCTTGTATTGTTATGGTTGAAACTGAAGTATTCATTGACAGGTAGGACTTTGCAATATATAATTCTATGTACTATACTTAGATCGGACCACAGGTGGCATAGTTCTAGGTTTTCTAGGTCTAGAATTTCCAGCCTGGTGGCATAAGGTATTCTGCAACGAGTACAGGAGTGGTGAACTCTTCTTGTGAAATATATTTTTGGATTTTCTCAACTGTATTAATATCAGATACATAATGCAGATTCCAGACTGATGAGCTGTATTCAAGGTCTAGCAAATGTTTTGTATGTTCAAGTTATTAGTGTAATATTACCAGAGAAAAAGCTACGTAGGATTAGGTTAACAACTCCTAATAACTTTTTGGCTATGTAGTTACAGTTACAAAACTTATAATTTTGTTTTGTGTCATTTTGTCTGACTGCTTATTACTTTTTTTTCATTATAGAATTCTTTATTAACCAAGTGTGATTGGACACACAAGGAATTTGTCTTGGTTTTTCCTATCTACATTATATTCCAGTTGATATTCTAGTTGCAGCTCCATTAGTATTATGATTATGTTATTGCCTTGGATGCAAAATATCTGTGAAGGCCAGATATATAGTCTTGTTCACACAGTAAACTAAGCTACCATATGGTTTAATTATTGGACTATAGACAGGCCAGTCCCGACTTGTTATTGCCATGCACTTTTACCATGTTTTTCCTCTTTCCCAATATATTTATGTTTGTGTAGAGTTATGTACATCTACATGTTTAGCATTCCGTAACAATAGCTCAGAGCAAAACTTTATGCACCAGAGTTTTGTTCTGAGCTCAAAAGAAAATGCAGAGAGAGAGGGAGACTGAAAGAGAAAACCTTCACTTTGCATGTCCTGTGAGAAAAATATCAATCCAAGATTATTATTCACAGGCTGTAGGAAGTCAATCCACATGATTTTCGTTTTGTTTCTTTAGAAAATGTAGGTAGCTGTCCATCTCACTAAAAGTTATTCAGGGTAACTGTCAAGCAGAAATACTTTCAGGTGGGTGTGTTTTGTTTTGTGTACTATATTCATGACAGTCAAGGAAATAGATTAAAATTAATCTAATGTTTGTGAAATTTGAAGCTGCAGCTAGATGAGGATTCCCAACACGGATTTATGTGCAGCAAGAAAGAAATGGCATTATTTTACCATCAAACTCTCCAAAACTGAAGCCAAATGATTGTTTAGTTGCTTCACCTTGACAACAAGGATGGGTGTACACAATCTCCTGCTTCACTTCTAAAGGGCAAGACTAGTCATCACAATTCACGAGTAAATGTTATGTCCTGTTGCTGCATACCATGACACCAGTTAATAAATATCTAAATACAGATTCAATTTCTACATACAATAATATAATACACACATAGAATCAGGTACCTGTTAGGTTTGGTGCTGTGCAAAAGAGAGAGAGAGAGGAACATTTATCTAATTACTATTTTACCCAAGGAGAAAAGAAAACATTAGCATGCCATAGCATGATAGCTAATGAATTTAATTATTTATAATTATAAATTAATGGCATAACCTTATATCTTGCCAGCTCAGCCATAATAAATGCCTTACAGAGATGGAAAAGACATTTTAATTTGAGATCTGGCAATGGTTATAGGTTAATAGTATTAATAATCATTTTGTATGCAATGTAATTTGTAATTTTGTATGTTTATATATAATGTAAAATCTTCTTCAATTTAGGTTAAACGCTTGATAAAGTCATGAATGTGTCAATATAGTTTTCTTTACAATTATATGAAGGTTTGCTATTGTCTTAGTCTGATTTTTTTTTTACTTAATAGTATTATCTAGACAACAGTGATCTCCCATACAAGTACTAATTTAGATTGTCAAGATTAGCCATAGCTGATGAAAAACTTTAATTCTCTTTTAAAACTGCCTA